ATAGATGAATTAAAAGCAAATTAAATGCTGAATTTGAGATGACAGATCTAGGATCTGCAAAAAGTATATTAGGGATGATGATTGATAGAAATAGAAAAGAAAATAGACTGAACTACATCAATCCTATCTGCAGAAACTAATATCTAGTTTGGTTTGACTAGTGCTAAAACTATAATGTACCCTTAGCAGGTCATTTCACCTTAAGCAAAGTTCAATCCCCCAAAACTGTGAATAGATTAAAATGGAAAACATCCCTACTCTAGTGCCATAGGATCAGTGATGTATTCAATGATAAGCACTAGGCCTGATCTTTCATTTGCAATATCTCTATTAAGTAGGTTTATGTCAAATCCAGGAATATAGCATTGGGTTGCCTTAAAATGGACACTTAGATACATTAACACTAACATGCATGTGGATTAGAGTATTGCAAAAGAACTCCTGAACTTGATCTTGTGGGTATGTGGATTCTGACTTTCAGGAGATCATGATTCAAAGAAGTCCACCACAGCTTATTATTTCACTTAGGTGAAACTGCATTAGCTGGAAATCCCAACTTCAACCATTAGTGGACTGTCCACAACAGAAGCTGGGTATGTGGTAGTACTGATGCTTTCAAAGAGCAATCTGGCTACAAGGGATTTTGAAAGAGATAAACTTGATGAATGGCCTTGTGACTGTATATTTTGACAGTCAAAGTGCCATTCATCCAAGTAAAAACCAATTATACCAGGAGAGGACGAAGCATGTGGATGTAAAGTATCATTTTGTCCGATCAGATTTCAAACGGAACTGTCAATCTGCTGAAAATTCCAATTGAAGAAAATCCATCTGATATGGGAACCAAAGTTGTAACTGCTATAAAGTTCAGCATTGCTTGACATTCTCACATCAACTGAATTCAACAGAGCAAAAAGGAGTATGAGAACTGCTTGCTACCCCTGCTGGTTACTGACAAAGGAAAGAATAAGGCTTCAAGGTGAGATTGTTAAATGTGAAGCCTTAAGCGACATCGTTTAACTTAAGCCAAGAATTCCAAAACGACACCGTTGACTTAAACCGATGTTCATCCTGATCGTTGGTTTGAATCCAGATCTAACGGCTGAAGACTTAAGCTAAGTCAAACCTATAAAAGCTGATGACTCTTTAGTTTTGAACTAACACGTTTTTCCTCTCTTTTTTGATATCTCTCTGAGTTACAAATTAGGGTTCAAGATTAGGGTTTGTCGTTGGGTGTAATCTGGCGGAAATCTGTCCATTGAGTTGGTTTTTCTTAGTGGGGAGGGAACCTGGTATAGTGTTCTTATCTCAGATTGTAGGTTCTGTTGTTGTTCCAAATCCTGGTTGATCTTGTTGAAATCTTGTAAGAGAGAGAGGTTGAGGGTTTACCGTTCTTGATCGAAATAGAAAGTGCAGCAAGCATCCATATTCTGGAGCTCAACGTGGACGTAGCTTGTTCAATATTGAACAAGTGAACCACGGTAAATACTATGTGTTGAATTTGTTTGGTTGCGTTGATTGTGTGTTTGTTGGTTGATGTTTGCTTGATTTGTTTAAGAGTTTTTACAACAGATCCATTTCGCATATGTTTCTAGCTAATTGAAGATTTCACACTAAATGTGTAAACCAAGCATCCAAATCGTGTTTTTTATGTCTGTCTCTTTTCTTTGTTTACTTAAGATCGAAATGCATAGAAATCTAACTAAAATTCATATAATATAATTAAAAAAAAAAAAAAAAAAAACACAACAAAAATTTCAAGAACTTCAAATCATCATAACTCATATTTCAACAACTTTCATATTTCAACTCCACAATACACATTACATGAATTACAAAAATACTGTTTAGATCATGATCTTCAAATGAAACAATGGTAGAGGACGAAGCCAACTTGAGTGATACTAGTTTGGCGATTGAAGGTCTTGATGAAAGTGGAAAAATAAACAATGCTACTCTTTATCTTACTAATCTTGTTGTTAGTTGTAGCTTAAATTATGTTAAACTAAAAAATGGGACTAGAAAAAGCGAGTCATCAAGAGCTCATGAAAGAGTTGAAGCGCCAATTCTATCCTAAGAATATGGCTCATGATACGAGAAAGAGAATGTAAGATGGAAACCACACTTCTTCAACCGTAGAGCATGTCAAAGGGTTTATCAGGCTATATGGAAGATCAATAACACGAGTGAGGAAAATTTGCTATTCAACTTTATGGTGAGCTCTGGAATTGGGTATCACAAGAATTATTTGCGTCAGGTGAAAGGTGTAGCCATAGCTAGGGCTGTTAACGAGCTGAGCCGAGCTAAGTTTTTGGCTTAACGAGCTCGCTCGTGAAAAAGAAAAAGATTCGAGCCGATTTCAGTCGAGCCGAGCCTCTAATTTCCTGACTCGGCTCGACTCGTAAAGAGAGAAAAGATTTCAAGTCGGCTTGCGAGCCAGCTTAACACAGCTGAGTTAGAGTCGGCTCGCCAACCGGTAAAAGCATATAATTTTTCTTTTTAAATTTGGTGCAGTTTCTTTCTCTCATTTATTATTATTTTCTTTCTCTCTCTCATTATACTCTCTCTTTCACTTCTTTCCCCCCCTAATTTATTATTGATTTGCTTTCACTTCTTTTCTCTCTCCCAGACTCCAATGGCTCATCGTTTTTTTTTTTTTTTTTTTTCCCTTCTTTCTCCCTGTTTCCCTTGCTCTCTCAGTCTCCACCAACTCTAAAGTTATTCTCTTCCTCTTCTCTTTTGTTACTTATTACTCTTTGCTTTCTCTCTAATGACGCCTATTTCTCCTATTTTCTCTTTTTCTTTCCTGTTTTCTCTTTATTTCTTTCATTCTTTCTCCTTGTTTCCCCTGCACTCTCCACTAACTCGATTTCTTTCCTCTTTCTCTTGTTTCCCTGCACTCTCCACCAAATCTGACCCGACAACTTGCCTAAAATGGTTTGGTTTGGTTTGGTTTTAAGGGGAAGATTTTAGTCGCATTTTTAGGGATTTTAACATTGGGGTGTTCTTTGTTTTTTGCAAACTTTTTGTTTTAAAATTTTAGTTTAATCCCCTATACTTAATAAACCCCTAAACGCCCTTAATAATTCAAGCCTGGCTCCGATCTCGAGCTTAACGAGCAAAGCCGAGCCAAGCTGAGGCAGGCTCGAACTCAGCTCGTGCTCTCTGACGAATCAAGCCGTGCCGACTCGATTCCAGACGAGGCGAGCTGTTAACGAGCCATACTCGAGCCAAGCCGAGTCGGCTCGAGAGCGGCTCGCCTCGTTGAGCAGCCTTAGCCATAGCCTTAGCAATAGGGAGTCCCTCACAGAGTATCGAAAAAGTGGGTTTTCCAAACAAAAGAATTCCAGAACTAGGCATGGCAAAGGTGGAGCAAAAGAGTATTATTCTAATGACATAAAGGGCAAAAACACCAACCACAAAGGGATGAAAGAAAGGTAAGAAAGATCCTAAGTCTTGGTATAACTGCTTCATTTGCAATGGTCCACATTGGCAATCATAATGTCCCAAGAGAGGTGTACTGACACTAAGTACCATCATTGAAAAACCAGAGTCGAGTGACAAGATTAATAGTCTTTACAACTCCTCTCAATACCTTAAAAGTAAAACCAATTCTTACAAAGTCTAATTATAAGAGCTAATGTAGATGTAAAAAATCTACTGTTACGAAAATAGAGTCCGATCTCGTAAAGTTGAGGTCACTGACAATCCGTCGGATTTGCACACATAAAAGAACAAGCGTGAAGCTTATGGAAAACATTGGAGTGGTGTTTGCCGTAGGCATTCCGATGCTCAAGTCAGCAAGGCTGGAAGAGATTATTTAATAAGAATTAATGGAAAAAAGAGTTATCGGGATTACGGCGAAGGTGTAGAATTCTCGGGAGCAATAATTTAGAGTAAGGAGGTGATTTTGTGTAGTAGAGATTGGATATTGGAGATTGGTTGAATAATGAGAGGGTAGACCTTTGTTTTTATAGTGAACCCAAGGGGTTGGAATCCTAGTAGGATCCCTATAAGGAAAAAAAAAACATTATTTTTTGACTTTATCAGATTAAGTTTAATAGTTTGAGTAAGATTCAGAATCTCAGCAGAAGAGGAAATAGAATATGATTCTGATTTCCTATTTATGGACTATTGTAGATTAATGAGCCGGAACTCAGTTCAACTTAATTTTTAGGATAGCCTAACTCAAACAGTGGACAGTTCACACGGTGACTTTAAACGTAGGCCCAACTAAAATTGGGCTAAGACGTTGTCCTGTAATATGTTTATTTCGTTATTAGACCTTGTCAGACCCAAAACGATTTTTTTCTCATACAGCTAGCATATAATGAGACGTTGTCTCATTACCATGGTTCAACTTTGTATGTGTTCTAGAGGAAATCCATGTATGATTCCAAAGTCGAACAACAACCCATATCTTCTTTTGACTATAATTTAAGAATGGAGCTAAGCAGGGAAAAGCCACTTATTTGGTGACTATTCGAGACATGTATGATGGCCGAAAGAAATTGCCAATGTGCTCAAGGGAACAATGTCACCAAAGTTGCTCAAGAGATTACTACCTAGAAGAGAGATAGATTACAAGATTGAGTTAGAGCCTAGAACCAAGCCACCAGCCAAAACCCCTTACCGAATGTCATCACCTGATACTTTATGGAATACTCGCAAATACTAATGTTCAAATTTCCAAACTGTAGGTGTGATAAACAGTGTTTTTCGTCAACCCCCCAGCAACTAAGGCCTCAAATAGTGTTAACGCCCCGAAATTTTTATAATTAAACATTTGTTTTAAATTACAATTTCTTTATATATTGCATTCTATCTCAATTAAATTTTTTTATTAATTTTAAAGTTAACCGGTTAGGTTAAATATCGTTTCTTTTCATATAATTGTTTAAGCATTTTATCCAAATTATTATTCTAAAAAAATATTAAAAATTCATGACATTATTATAATCGAAATTGAGTACATTTCAAATTAACCCATTTGTCCTGGGAATTGCAGACAGTAAAAGGAGGATGGTGGAGAGGTTCTTCTTGAGTAAGAGTAGCCAAACCATTTCTAAGTCTGACCCATTCATGCTTCTCTCAGGCCCTCCTTCTTGGTAAATCAAACTCAATTCTTTCTTTAATACCCAATATTTGCTTATCAATTCAATTCATGTTATGCCTATTGTTGTAGTGGGAAGACGTCGCTGCTGTTCCAATTTGCATTCAATTCAGCATTGCAGAGCACTGGGAATGGCAAAGTCATGTTTTTATGTAACCGCCGCAGGCTTGAAACTAAGCCCCCCTTTCTCTCACAAGGCATTGATCCCTCGTCCCATGTCTTTAAGCGTATCCAAATTAAGTAAGCATCAACTTCCTTTAAGTATTGTAACATTTATTTATTTATTGAGAATCCAGAAATGCCCATTACTTGCTTTGCTAGTCTGGCTTCGAAAAACTGGAGCCCCGCCGAACCCTGCAATCTTTAGGAAGCGGGAAATAATGGCCTTTGGCCATGCAGGTGCCCATGAGAGGCTGAGAGCAAACCCTGACCATCCGGCTAAGCTCTCATGGGTTTGTAACATTTATTATTGTGCCGAAAATTATAATTGTTTTATAACATTTTGATTTTCTTGAAGATATTTGGATGATGATGAAGGTATTAAGAAGTACTTTGCTGCATTTCACCTGCATGATACATTTCCTGCTGCAGTGGTTGTTGATGATTTTGGAGATTTCTTTGATGAAAGGTTTCTCTTTTTAAGTTTTGTGAGTTTGAATCAAACTAAAAGTCATGGCAACTTCACATTACATTTTACTGTTTCCTTAAACTATTAGGACTTGCCAAGAAAGATATGCTAATCCTCGTGGTAGAGACTTGGCTATGGTGAGGATTCTAGCTTTATGTCACAATGCCATAACGAATGCAAAGTAAGTAATCGTTTCGCCAACTAAATGATATGACCACGTGGATTTTCTCCGATGATTAGCATTGTATGTGTTTTTGAATTCAATTTGTAGTGAAAAAGGACCTTGCAAGCTTCTGTTGTCTGATAAACACCACGGGAACACTCCGAGGTTGCTATTTATTTATAAGAGATGGATCTCAAGCATCTTTACAATCAAAGGTCAGTTATAGAATAAATGGATTTTATGTGAAAGTTAGAATCAACCATTGTCTTGATGGCTTATAGTGTTTGTGAAATATAGGTCATAGTTTTTTTTTTTTTTTTTATCCGCTCTAGATTTGTGTTTTCTTCTGTACCAATCGTCTTTGATTGTTACGACATGATTAATTGGGTTTTTGTGATCAAGGTGATGGCTTTGGATCATTTCTGTTGAAAAATATTGACAATTCAGGAAGCGGCAGTGTGGGGTGGTCGAGAACTGCAAAGTACTCCATAGCTCTTCAGTATCTGTTATTGGAAGAGGTGACAGAGGATGGTGTACAGTGATGTTGCTAAACTTACTTTCGAGTTTTAGTTTCCTATTTTGTTTGATCGAACTGCAAAATAGTAAATAGCTCCTTATTCAGTATCTATTTTTGAAGGGAATGACTTAAAAGTGTATTGTGATAGCAAATATTGTTGTTTGATTCAGTTGTACACTTAATTCTGGTTTGTCTTAGAATATTATACTCTTATGAGGCCTTCTTTTAGTATTCCTTTTTTGAAAGCAAAATGGCGAAAACTTTTTGCACTGTGTATTTGATCCTAAATTTCTCTACTGGATCTATCTCCTTTGAGGTATGTGCTTTTCCAATTTGATCAAGAGGATATTTTGCAAATACTAAATTGATAGTTGGATTTAAAGCTTATTTCATTATTTAAGCTCGCTGTTAGATACACTGCGAATCCATGGCTATTTACATAAGAAACAGAAGATAGACCTTCAATTATTAAGTCATCAATAGGTTGTTCTAGTAAACTCCTTCCTGATACTCGGGTTCGCAGAATTCTCCTCCAAGATCATCACAAGCCTCTCCTGGAAACACACTGTAACAATTTTCAAACAAAAGATACTTGTTCAAATTCTGTAGTTGCAAACAAAAGATCTTAAACAATTGATGGGATTAGTGCATCTTACGTCTTCGGACTGCTGTAGTCCAGATATTCTCTGTCAATCGGCTCTGAACTAGTCTTGGCCTTGCTGCTCTGGATCTCAGGTTTGGGCTTGACTTCAGGGTACATTTCAGCATCACATGCATCCCCTCCAATTGTCTCACAAGCTTCAGCTGGAAATACACTACAATATATAAACTTGATCTTAGCTCAAGTATTATTCACCTTTTAAACTATCTACATAAGTTTAAAGCCAAGTCACTGAAGCCAGGAAGTTGGGAATTCCTCAGCCCAAAGTGGGGGCTGGGGCCAGTCCCCAAGAACCATTTTGCCATCCCCTAATTAAGCAAACGGTAATGATGTTTACTTACGAGGTCATGGAGCTATAGTCGACTGTTGAAGTGTCATTAGTCGCAGGAGTTACTTTGATGGAAGGACACAGGGGAGTCTGCAGTCTTGGCGTGATTCTGCCTGCCAAAGCCAAGGTTTTTGTGGGTGTAACAATGGGGAGAAATGATGGTGAAAAGCTCAAAGCTGCCTGCATTTTGGTGTGTCCAGTTGTATCAAGTTTTGAGAGAGAAGTGGAATCCTATGCTATAGTATTACTAATAATATGTGAAGTTGATTAATGAGTTGAATAGATAAGGTAGCGAAGATTTTTTGGCGAATGGATAAGGGATGTGTATCCCTTGATAGAGGCCCATGGGCTTGGACTTTTATGAAATTATTGAAAACTTCCAAATTTGATTTTAGGGAACTGAAAAGTATATATTATAATTTGCTTGATTTATGATTTGAAATAAGGTATAATATAATCTAATAATAGTTATTGAAGTTTCAGTGTGATTAGTATATAAAAACATATTTGGTAAGAATGAAGTTCTTCATATAGTTTTTTTTTTTTTTTTAACTACAAATCAAATAGAGAATTTGATAAAGAGAGACATTAAGAGGGTGTTTGTGTGAGCTTATGAAAATTAGCTTATAAGCAATAAGTACTTATAAGCCAATTTTAGCTTATAAGCATTTGAAATTTTAAGCAATTACGTGTTTCGTTAAAGTACTTATAAGTAACTGATAAGTAGTTGACATGTTTGGTAAAATTTGGCTTATAAGTATATTTTATTATTAAATGACTAAAAAAGGTACTACATTAAATAAGGGTATACTATAGAATTTTAAAATTAAACAAGGATAATGTAGTAATATATTTGGTCAAACTAACTTATAAGCAGAGTGCTTATAAGCAAACAAAAAAAGGTACCTTCTCCCAACTTTTTTTTTTTTTTTTGGCTTATAAGCTCAACTTATAAGTTCAAAAAAGCTATAAACAAACAGGTCAGCTTAATTTTAGAACTTATAAGTTAGTTTAACCAGCTTATAAACTTAGACAAACACCCTTGAAAACATGTTGTTAAAAAGGGTAAAAGAAACATTAATTAATAATTTAATTACTTGCTTTTTTTTTTTTGTTTCCGTTAACCCCCATCTTTTTAGTTGTGGGTAAAATAGTATTATGATAAATCATTAACACCAGCTTTCCATAAGTTACTTAGGGTATTATCAATTAAAGTACAAAGTTTTCAAACTTTTTTAATGAGAGGTAAGAAGTTACAAATTGTTCAATTAAAGGACATTTAATGGTTATTTACCGTTAAAATTAAAGTAAAATGACAAAATACCCTTGAATTTCTTTTTCTTTTTCTGAAATTATTTAGTTCTTAAAACCTAAATTTAAAAAGACAAAAGAAATTTTAGAACCAATTTTTTTAAGGGAAATAAAAAATTAAAAAATTGACAATCTAAAAAAGTAAAAACTATTAAAAATGAAGGAAAATAATAATAGTTTTTTCTATTTAATTTTGATTATTTTATGAAAAAGAATAATTTAAAATCTTTGTTTAGTTGTTTTTTCTTCTAATTCTTAGTGTTTTTAATGTTTAATTTTTATTATTTAATTTGTAAAAAGAATAATTTAAATTTATTCAATTACATCTTTACCCTTATATAAAGTTAAATCTAACACTAAGTAATTGTAATTGTCCCTTAATTGAAGGATTTATAACTTCTATCCTCCAATTGCGAAAGTCTGAAAAAATTACACACTAATTGATAATATTTATTCAAGAGGTTTTTTAATAAATATTATGATTATAATATTTTCAAGATTGATTGACTTATACTTGCTTTGAGTGTAGAAGGATACGAAACCCAAAAACTAATTCTTGAAGAAGAGGAGAAACATTAACTCATTTTGATGTGAATCAGTAATTTAAAGTTTTGGATGAATAATGAAAGAAGAAGAAGAATAAGAGATGAGATCTAAAGAATTATCGTAGAAGCTAGATTTGAGAGTAAGAATAGGGCTAAGATTGGGTAAATTTAGTAAGAAGTGGGGTTTATTAATTAAAGCTCAAAGTAGAGAGAGAAAGGCATGTGTGGATGGAATTAGTAAATGTAACAAACTTTTGACATTTCCCTCCAAGATCTAAGACTAAGAGTAGAGCTAGGCAAATAGCCCCAGCCCTTCCAAGAATTGGTCCCAGGCCCAAGGGAGGAGGGACCGAGCCCAGCCAGTCCCTCCTCCAGGGCCCCAGCCTTGCCCACCTCTATCTAAGAGTAAGGGCTTATAACAATATACAATCAAATCTAGTTTTCAAAGCATCCTCTCTATTTTTCTCTTCATCTTCTTTCAATCCAAACATACTCAATCCACTACTTTCAACTCTAGAAAATCATTGAACTACATACTAGTAGAAACAAAACCTTCCACAAATGATAGAATTGGATTTTAGTTTTTCCCCTTAAGATTTTCCAAGATAACAAATTTTCTCCTCGGGTATCATAAATAACAATTTCCCTCTATCATCAACGGAAAATTCTAGTAGTGAGGAATGGGGGTAAATTGTTATTTATGATACCCAGAAGACAAAATTTTTATTTGGAGAAGAGTAATACTATGTTTACAATTGAGTTATACAAACTGACAAAAAATAAAAAATAGAGTAGTTATTTTACATAAACTTTATACAATTTTTGTTCGTTTGTATTGATAACTTACTTGTAAGCAAAACATTATTTTTTGGAGTAACTATTTTAAGGTAAAATAAAACTCTAGCATTATAAAGGCTTGTGCGGTAAACGGGTAAACTTAACAACTACAAATGGTACTCTCACACACTTTAAAATTGGGTTTTAATCACCGGCTCCCCCCTAGAGATGAGGTTATCTAAACACCACCAAGGTTTTTGGAAGTATTAAAAAAGCCCCTAAAAATGAATTTCTGTTAAGACGGTGATAGAGGGATGTTTAACAAAGTCAAAGGGAGTGAGGGTATATAGGTAAATTCGCATGAGAAATCTCTATTATCCGTTGGAGAATATTAATGTCAGGGTGTTTATGTAATCCCGAATTAAAATCAATTATTATTTCATCATTCCTTTTAGTTTTTTTCTTCTCTTTAATAAACCCCAGATCTACAACCTCCACTCTTAAGCTAAGCCATGGATGTTGCATTTCTTTCTCTATGGTGGATCGGTCACGACACCACCCGCAGCATCCCTGCAAGGCCGACATGACGTCCTTGACAATGTCTTAGGGAGGTCTCCGATTGAAAACCTGATGGAGTACTAAGATACAGGTAAATTGTAATTTCTGATACATGTGGAGAGATTTTTTTTTTTTTTTTTTTACTTGGGCCTAGATCATGGGGTCGGGCTGGGCCGGTCAAGAGTTACCCCGTCCCAACCCAGCCCATTGCCATCTCTTTATATATATATATATATATATATAGTCTAGAAAAAAACTGAACGGCATTGGAACTAATCTAATATACATATAGAAAAAGTAGGTGGATTGGGTCACATCTAAAAACATTAACACAAGTATAGCCTGGTCAAAAAGAGAAGTAAACAAAATTAATGAACTTATTTTATGGGTCACCAGCCCCAGTCGGCAGTCTCCTCTTAAAAAGTCTGTTCTTGGTTAAGTATTTTTTCGTTTTTATTTTTTTTATAAAGCGCCCGCCAATCAATCACACCATACATTTTGTTCAGGTTAAGCTCAGTATAGGAGAGAATCCTATCTTTGAAAAATGGTTGATAACAGAATGGACAAAATCACTTGTAAGGTTGGATTTTAGAGAAATTGAAAAATAGCCTAAATTTTAGGGCGTTATATGTAATTAACCTGAATTTCAAACAAAAACAACACCTACATTTTAAACTAAAATACCCTTACCTCTAAACTCTCCCACACTTGAGCAGAATATTCACCTTTCTACTTTACTTCTAAACCATAAACATCATTCAACTTTCTGCAAAGCTTCCAAATGAAGGATCTTTCACTTTATTAAGATAAAATCATTAATCTAAGCAAGTATTGTTGTATGTATGTACTGTGTATTATGAAGTTGGAATAAGAAGTTTGTTGAAATTATTGAAAGGATGATTTGAAGTTGTTTTAATTATTGGGTGTTGTGTTTCTTATTATATATGAATTTTAGTTAGATTTGGTCGTAAATATACAAAGAAAATGGATTAGACATAAGAAACATGATTTTGGATGCCTTCTCATTGACTTAGCGTCAAAATCTCTGTTAGCAGAAAGAATACGCGAAGTAATCGAACATATAATATGATCCACTTCATGAATTGATGAAAAGGATTTTTACCATGCTAAGTGAAGTTTTTATAACATAGAATATGATCCACACTGAAAACTTTATTAGCGTGGTAAAATCCCCTTCGCGTAATGGATTACATGAAGGGATCATTATATGTTATGATCCATTTCGCATAATGTTTCTAGCTAATTGAAGATTTTCACATACATGTGTAAACAGGCATCCAAATCATGTTTTTTATGTCCGTCTCTTTTCTTGTTTACTTAAGATCGAAATGCATGGAAATCTAACTAAAATTCATATAATATATTTAAAAAAAAAATACACAACAAATAATTACAAGAACTTCAATCATCATAACTCAAACTTTCATATTTCAACTCCACAATACACATTACATGAATTACAAAATAATACTTATTTAGATCAATGATCTTCAGAAATGAGAACATGGTAGAGGACGAAGCCAACTTGAGTGATACTAGTTGTGATTGATGAAAGTGGAAAAGGTAACAATGTACTCTTTATTTACTAATCTTGTTGTTAGTTGCTGGCATATGAATTATGTTAAAACTAAAAATGGGACTAGAAAAATCGAGTCATCAAGAGCTCATGAAAGAGTTGAAGCGCCAATTATTCTAAGAAAGGCTCATGATACGAGAAAGAGAATGTAAGAGTGGAAACACATGCAATTCTTCAACCGTAGAGCATGTCAAAAGGGTTTATTAGGCTAATATGGCATATCAATAACATGGTGAGGAAAATTTGCTATTCAACTTTATGGAGCGCTCTGGAATTGGATATCACAAGAATTATATAGGCGTCGGGTGAAAGGTGTAGCCGTAGCCTTGGCAATAGGAGTCCCTCACAGAGTATCGAAAAAGTGGTTTTTCCAAACAAAAGATTCCAGAACCAGCACTGGCAAAGTTGAAGCAAAAGAGTATTATTCTAATGACACAAGGGCAAAAACACTAGCCACGAAGTGATGAAAGAAA